GTGATACAAGAGTGAAATCACTTGTGTAATTATAAAGAGGGCATTCTAGGTTTCTAAGGCAGCAACACCTTCTTGTTGATTTTGAAAGTTCTATCTTCTCTTTTCTTGATTTTCTTTCTTACATCCATTCCTAAGACATGGCTTCAAGTGAAGGTGAGAGCTTAAGAGTGATTGAAAAGTTTAGAGGTGACAACTTTTACCATTGGAAGAAGAAAATGGAGCTTTTGTTGGCTTCATTGGATCTTTGGGACATTGTTGATGAAAGTGAAGACCCTCCAAGTAACAATGCTGATATCAAGGTGAAGAAGGAGTACAAACGTCGTGAAAGAAAGACTTTTGGGATGATTGCAACAAACCTTGATGATGCCAACTTTTCACATGTTATAGCTTGCAATGGACCAGCGGAAGCATGGAAGACTCTTTGCAATATCTATGAGAGTAGAAACCTTGCCAACATCCATTGGAATTGGCTCCATTGTGGTAGAGATTGTTGTGAAGGACCAAATCAAGAAGATCATATTGAAGGAAGTCCTACATGTGCCAAAAATAAAGAACAACCTCCTTTTCATGAACAAACTTATATCACATGGTTGTAAGGTTCAATTTGATATGAATGGATGTTTTTTCAAGATATTGGATGGCCAACATGTTGCCAAAGGCCTTAGAGATGGAAATCTCTACTTCATCAATTGCAAGAAGGTAAATGGAGTTGAAGTGGCGGCATTTGCTGATTTTCCACAAAATCAAGACAACTTCGGAATTTGGCATCAACGACTTGGTCATTTGAATGCCAAATGCATGAAGGAGCTTCAATCCATGGTAAGTGGCTTGGATCTTAGTCAATTCAGCCATAATGCCATGACACTTGCTTGTGAAGGATGTATACAAGGCAAACAACAAAAGGCTTCATTTCCAAGTGGAGTTACAATACGTGCAACTAAATTGTTGGAGATTATGCAGTGTGATGTTTGTGGACCAATGAAGACACCATCAATTGGAGGAGCAAGGTACTTTGTCACATTCATAGATGACTTTTCAAGAAAGGTGTGGATTTATATGATTAAAGCTAAAAGTGAATATTTTTCAAGGTTTAAGGAGTTTAAGGCTCTCATAGAGAAATAATGTGAATGCAAGATCAAAGTGTTGAGAACAGACAATGGAGGAGAATACATGTCAAAGCATTTTGATGAATTCATAAAGATTCAAGGTATTGTAAGACAAATCTCTACTTCTTACACTCTACAACAAAATAGAGTTGCTGAAAGAGTAAATCAGACCATTGTGGAGATGGCAAGGAATATGTTTCATACACAAAACCTTGGGCATGAGTATTAGGCGGAAGCTATGATAAATGCGGTGTACATAAGAAATAGGTGCCCTACAAGTGCACTTGCATCAATGACTTCATAAGAAGCTTGGAGTAGGAAGAAACCTTATATTTCACACATGAGGATTTTTGGATGTATTGCTTATGCAAAGGTATCAGATTGTATGAGGTCCAAACTTGATACAAAAGATATAAAATGTGTATTTGTTGGATATTGTAAAGGTATCAAAGCATATAGGCTAATGTATTTAGAAACCAAGAAGATCATCAAAAGTCGTGATGTAGAGTTTTTGGAGCATAAGAGTGTTTTTGAACACTTGGAAGAGTGTTCAAGTGAGAGTAAAGGGATGTTTGTGGATACATCTTCAAGTTCAACAAAGAAAGAAGAAAAAAAAGATGATGATGACAATGAGGATGGAGGAAATAGAAGTCAAAATCAAGTGCCAAAGAAGGTAAATCATAGTGTGCCTTCAATTGCTAGAACCAACAATGAAGACAATGACAATATTGAAGGTGATGATGATAATGAAGAATATCAACTTTTGAGTGAGAAAAGACAAGCATTGAGGAAGAAGAAGGATGGAATGCAAGAAGAAGGGTCTTCTTCAAATGAAAAGAGATATCTTTTGAGAGAAAGAAAACCACATGGTGAATGGTGGAAGGACCACATCTTTTCTTAAGTAAGTGAAGAACATGCCAATGTTGCACTTCTTGCTGATCTATTGAATTTATGTGATGTAATGAAGTCCACGGATGCTTTGAAGTGGGAGAATGCTATGGAAGAAGAGTATAAATCACTCATGGACAATAGAATATGGAAATTGCCTCAACTTCCATCAAATCAAGCTTCAATTGGTTGTAAGTGGGTGTTTAGAACAAAGAGGGATGCAATGGGTAATGTTGTGAAGTATAAGGCAAGATTGGTTGCGAAAGGCTACTCACAAGTTGTTGGTGTGGATTTCAATGAGACATTTGCTTCAATGGCCAAATTCACCACCATTAGAACCATTGTGGCAATTGTAGCAGCAATGGACTTGGAGATGCATTAAATAGATGTGAAGATGGCTTTTTTGAATGGAAGTTTGAAAGAAGACATCTATATAGAGAAACTTCAAGGATTTATTGAAGAAGGCAAACAATACCTTGTTTGTAAGTTGAAAAAAATCCTTGTATATGCTAAAGCAATCACCAAGGGCATGGTACCAATGCATTGATACATTCTTTGTGAGTAAAGGATTTGTAAGGAGTGAGGCTGATCATTCTTTATATGTGATGCAATCAAATAGGTTCATATTGATTGTCATCCTCTATGTTGATGATTTGATCATCTTAACCAATACATTGAAGATGATGGATTGGTTGAAGGCAAAGTTAGAAAAGGAGTATGAAATGAGTGATTTGAGAGAGCTTCACTATTGTTTAGGAGTGGAGTTTGTGAGAGATCGAACTAAGAAGATTATTACATTGAGCCAAAAGAAGTACATTGAAGAAGTATTGAAACGGTTCAACATGGAGGAGTGTAAGCCTATTGGAATATCATTGGAGGCAAACTTGAAGTTGATGAAGCTCACGAATGAAGAGTTTGCTGAAGTTGAAGGTCAAATGCAAGGTGTTCCATACAAGATAGCAGTGGACTCACTTATGTATGCAATGGTTGGCATAAAGGTGGATCTTCCATATGCGGTGAGTGTTGTGAGTCAACACATGTCAAAGGTAGGACCAATCCATTGGGAAACCATCAAAAAGATCATGAGATACTTAAAAGACACTTTAAACTTCAAATTATGCTTTGGATGTAATAACATTAGCTTGCATGGTTATTATGATGCGGATTGGGCTGGAGATGCAAATGATAGAAGGTGAACAATGGGGTATGTATTCTTTGTTGGAGTGGGAGCAATTTCATGGAATTGCAAGAGACAACCAACAATTGCAAGGTCAACAATGGAGGCGGAGTACATGGCAACAAGCCATGGTACAATGGAGGCAATATGGTTGAGAAAATTTTTAGAGGACATTGGAGATGTACAAATGGAAGCAACTCCAATGGAGTGTGACAATTAAGGATGTCTTGCATTTATAAAGAATCCAAAGCATCATTCAAGAATCAAGCACATTGACATTCAACATCACTTTATAAGAGAGAAGATTGAAATGAGAGTGATTGATATGAAGTATTGTACAATGAAGGAAATGCTTGCTGATTTGTTGACAGAGGCATTAGTAAAAGATAGACACCACATGTTGACAAAGGCATTAGGATTAAAAGCCATTTTATCAATAGCAAAGTAGGAGTATTAAAGTAAAAGTAGAATAAGTTACCTTATAAAGGATATTAACTTAGATAAGTTGCTAGTGGTCAAAGGTTTGACTCTTGGTATATGGTAAGGGCATCCAATGGATATAGGACGAAGTCATAAACCAAGAGTTAAAGTCAAAAGGATAAAGTATTAATAAGGAAATATCCAAAGAGTAGATATGAATCATTAGTGTATGTCATAGGATACCCTCGAGCCTCGTGAGATGCCAAAAGGATCCTATGACCACGTGTATAAAAGTCAAAGAGTAAAAAATGTCTTTTAGGATAGCAACCACTACCTACAAGTAATGGGTATTGGAAGTGAGAGATATCTTATTCCATACTCTCTTTGTGTGCAACCTTGCTGATGCTAAGTGTTGTGTCTTCAAAGTACTTGTTCTTCAATACTGTGAACTCTTTATGAACTTCCAGTGAACTGTGCTTGAGTGCATTTAGTCACAAAATTGCAAAAAAAAAATGAACCATTTGAACTCTATGTGAACTTTGCTTGAATTTTGGTCAAGCTTTTACTTCTTTTCAAACTCTACACAATGTTAAGTTTTTTGATGAAAACCAAAAGGGGTGCATGTGGTGAATGAGAGTCTCCACTTCTCTCCTTAAGCAATCTTAATATAAAAATATATAATTAAATATTAATGATAATTCTTTTTACAATATGACAATTCTTTTGAACTAGTGAATGTTTCATGAATTTATGGGTTTGAAAATTCCCAACTTAGCAAACAAAAAGTACCATTAAACTTCATATACCTTCATGCATTCACAAATTCTATTTTATTATTAAATTTACCTTATTTAGAATTAATTTAAATTGACTAATTAACCATTCATTGAGAAAAAAGCTTATATTGGTCCTTAAATCACTCACTGCCTTTCTGCCCAATGGCAAGTAATAAACAGTGATTTAAACATCGGAATATAATGTCAAGTTCAAAATGAGTTAGTCTTAATTCAATGTATGCAATTTTTTATTTTTATTTTTATTTTTTTTTAATTTCAGAGCTCTTTTTGAAATGCGTGACTACATTACTGGAATCTGGTGAAGGTGGCCATTTTCATTGCTACATCTTCAAAGGAATAAAACCCTATGATTCTGATAACATCTATAGGTTAAGACATAAACCGCGTGAATAGGAACATTTATCTAGTTACTACATTGAAATCAACTCGTCTATTATACGCTGGAAATTCGCTTTCGCTTTGAATTAACCATGGACAATAGGTCAATTCAGTCTGAAGGTTACACGTCTTCACAGGGTGTGATGTGTAAATGAAACAGAGTGTAACTTTTTTAAGTAAACTTTATCATGATACAGATGGGTACATTGATACTTGGGACTCATACACGAGTGATCATGCAATAGGGAGAAATCGGATGTAATTTAATCAGAACTCTGCATGCGGTATTTCATACAGAAAAAATGACGGCTGATTTTTGCAGCTAAGACTACGAGTCATGTCTCTGATTTCGGACTTGAATACAAACTGCATCCACAATTTCTAAAATGTACACCCTTCGCCCAAGGCACAAAGCTTTTGCACCAAAAATGGGCTTAAGAATCAAAACCTTAATAGTGTGAGAAACATGACTGCTAACAAAATTGAGACCTTCCAAGCCGTCTGTTCCCTCGACCTGTATCTTCCTTCAACCCCATGTGCAACGACTACCCATCAAAACTGATAATACTAAACAGCATAAACCTTAATAATTTGATCAATTGCAGACCGACACACAGGACAACCCCAGTTCGTGGCCTTAATCTTCAACAAACACTCCATACACCCTGCTAAATGACCACATGGGATACATACACCTTGGGCTGAGGCGTCCCAGCAGACGACACAACGATTTTCTTTTTCCTTCTTCCCCTTTTCGCCTGCTTTAGATGTTGATGCAGAAGCTTCCTCGGAAGGTGCATCAACAGGATTTTGCAAATTTGCAGGAGGTATATCAATAAATGGATAATGGATAGGAAGTGGAGGAGCAGAAGGAGAGAAGATGGTTGAGCTTGATGGTGCTTCAGAAACTCCAGAAAGGTCAGCTCGCTCCTTCGACAATTCCGACACCCGACCAGGTCTAGCCTCATTGGCAGAGCCCCATCCACCATATTGAGAATGGTCAGTGTTGCCATCAGTTAAATCGTCTGGATTTATAAGATGACCCACTGGGATCTCTTTTTTCGTTGCAGTGTGTAGGGAGGCATTGATAGCCAACTTCAAAGTAGCTTTCTCTGATACTTCTGAGCGGTTCTTCAGATTTTGAGAAGCAGAGCCACACTTTGTTGCTCGAGAGGCACATGCTGACTGTTGTGCTTGGGGTTGAGCTGTAGGTCGATTGAGTCCTGTCAAGCCTCGTAGAGCAGATTGGGGGGCCCTCCGATGTCTAGTTGATGGAGGTGCAGCCTACACAAGCCAAATAGAACATTAGAAATTTACAAGGTTTCCAATAGAATTAAAAAATACATAAGTCGTGCAACTCCATACCTGAGAAACTCCCTTGCATGCCTTGAGGAATTGCTTAAATTGGGCCTTGTCACCTTCTGATTCTGCTAAGAACTTGTACTTTGTTTCTGTGGAAATTAACAAAGAACAGATGCTTACTACTTCGAATAAGGTATGAGTATCCCTCTCGATTTCCACGTGAGAAATACCATAATCAAAAGCTCGTCAGAGCCTTCAATTGCAAGTGAAAAAGACAGGCCGCATTCTTACGTTTCTGTAGGCACAAAAGCGGTACTAAGGAGTATTTTAAGAAAATCTAATTAAAGTTGCAGTTTAACGTAAAAAATTATTATGCTTGTCTTCAACAAACCAAATTATTTTAAGTAGGCAGCAGGATTGAAGCCTAAAAGTGTTCAACTTGAAGCGTTGCAAATCCAGAATAGCTTTTAACTCAGAATTTAGTTCAGCAACTAAATTCAAAGATTAATCAATGCGAAGAAAACTTACTTGTATTTTTATCCATGATAATTACAACTGGGTCTACTGAACTTAAATCAGGCTCTTCTATTTCAGCCTTCGATAAAGAAATGACACTATGTGGTAAGGAAACCTGCACAGAAACAAATAAATGGGGTCCATGATAATTCCAACAGCCTTTTTTACAGCTCATTTTTATTTTACATTCTCATACACCTCCGGTATTTCCCTACTTATTGTATTCCAACGAGTGATGCCCAGAGAATGAACACAATTTCTCTTCACGATCCTAAACAGTTCACTAACATTATAGAACCTCGCTGCATGACTCGAAGGAGACAAATTCCCTCCATTCCAAAGGCTCACCTATCATCAAAAAATTGTTAGAGACCGATACCAACGCCATTCCTGTTCAAACTCTGGAAGGAGATGGAGGAATGACGGGACTACTTGTGAGCATGTTCAATGCTCGTAATTCATTTTTCTTATTGCAGGGGCATAGCCATTGCATAACTTGATGTTCATCCTTACAAAGTTACTCCACATGAAATACAGAACAGTATGACATGGCGAAACTCATATTGGTGATTAAGTCGAGACTGCTCGAACTGTAGAATTAAGCAAGGACGTGCAACAAAAAAGTGAGGATGTAACGTGCTGATTCTTGAATACAATGAGGGTGCCATTATCACTAATCTGCTACAAATCACCTTCAAGAATATTTAAAGCACCATCTGAGAATCTCAAGGAACATAAGAAGTAAAACTATGCTTATGTTCATGGCCAATTTTCTTCATCAGTTTCTAAATTTAAGCTAGGCACGATCGCCTATACCACTAGGAATCATAATCGCTTGTCGAAGAGAATTTGTAGCGTTGCAAACTCACCTTTTGTGACTGGTAAATAACAAGTTCAAACTTCAGAGTTCGTCTGGGATCGATCTCGGTTGGCAAAACTACAGCCCAACTATCAAATCACAAGAGCTTGTCAATTCGAATAATCTTCGGCACTGTTACGTCTACCCAAACTCCAGCTAGTCGCTGGACACTTATAACAGAAGATAAATGTAAACAGGAGAAAGATTTGGATGCAAATCAGACTTCCTTCAGACACAAGATAAAGAAGTGAAATAAATAGTGCTCTTACATTTTCTTGGTCAACCACTGAGGCGCGATGGCTTCCAAAAACCCAGGACCAGACAACTCCCGAACTACTCCACTAAAGGTACAAATTCGTTCCTGCCAATTCCATCCCCCTCTCTCAATCTCTGAACTGCGCACATGGTTACGAGCTTCGATATGTTTTGCAATTCCCACCAACTGCTAAAATCATTCAATATGTTAATAGCTGATTTACTCTGGGGCTTGAATCACAATCTATATCCAAAAAAGTTACTATCATGTATGATCCCACAATCGAGCAAGAAATGTGATAAAAAAATACCTCGATCATGCGTACAACGGTCACGTGACCTCGATTGCGAGCCATATCTAATGGCGTAAGAGAGTCATCATTAACAGCCAACGGATCAGCTGCATCAAAATAACACTTTGAATGAGAGTATAAAATTAAACGGCTCAATATCTTGTAAAAGTGGTGTAATGATAGGATCTACAAACTCACCGCCACGGGACAAAAGAAGCAACACGGTCTTATCAAGACCACGCTTTGCTGCATGATGAAGAGGGTACCCTCCATAGGTCCCTGCATTGCAAAGATACCCAACCTCAATTCAAACTGTGAATTCTACTCTATATGGATACTATTGGAAAATGCTGTGCCTCGGTTAAGAACAGCCAGAAAGAAGCCACATTCTTCCAGGGACGAGGAACTTACCATGCCGATAGTATTTTATGTTGGCTCCAAGATTGAGAAGCAACAAGACCATCTCAAACAAGCTACAGCGAGTGCAAGCTAGAATTAGCGGTGTACGTCCTTCTTTGTCAACCCACTGCATGTCAGGCAGCACAACGACATCACATACCCCCTTGCGTATCTTCGCAAATAAACCACGTAAGATGTATGATATTCCTCCACCCAGAAGTAACAACCAGTTCTGAAATTCTGCAACAGCATGTGGAACTCTAATATCACTTTCATTCTACAAATAATCATACTGTATCACTCACAACCCTCCAAAACTGACCTCCAAGGACGCACCCTCGCGGCGAAGGGACTTCACAGCGTTGTGGTTTGAACACAGAACGGCATGATAAAACTGCTCGTCCTTGCTCGTCCCATTGCCCATCTAAACACGTTACCGCGGATAACTCAAGACGGAGCCTCTGAAAATCGACGAGGTCTGAACTTAATAAACCAAACACTTTGGTAACTCAGAAATCCTCAAGTACAAACAAAAAAGTGTTTACAATATATGATTGCTGTAGAAAGGGACCCTCATCATAAAATGTTTATTACAATGATACAAGAGATCGTAAACCTAAAAATAGTAATGTTGCAGTATAACCATCCTGTCAACTTCCAGACGCCAGACCAAAGTTACATCTCTGCTGCGTGTAATTAATCGGATGCATGTATAACAACAACTCAATCACGAACTCCTTAGTCGCATCTAAGTAATTCCTGAAATCTCAATGAGTTCATTTTTTTCATAGTTGACAGGCTAAACGTGGTTGCGCCATTATAAGGATTTGTAACAGCTCCTCCAGCAACAATCTCTGTGCTTCAAAGAACACAGCTCAAAGATGATCCAACTGTAGTGGAAAAAAAAAAGAAAAAAAAGAGTAAAAAACAAACACTCACACAAACAATAAACTAAACCCTACCTGATGATGAACTCACTCCACTTCTACGCCCCAATCGCTACCACAACCTTCCTCCAAAGTCATGATACCCCAGACATTTCTCCCTGATGCCCTGTCTTCTCATCTTCCACAGCCCCCGCGAGAATTTGAAAATAAAACTTCAATTCCTCCGGATCCGACCTCTCACCATAATCCAACACCGTCAACTGTCCGAGGGCCAGCACATGGCCACACTTGGATGGAATGGAGCGACAAGCGCGAATACGATGAAACTTGATAAGTCGAGAAGCGCCAACGTTCATGTGACGAGACGCGAGAGAGCACTCACAAGCGGATTGGGTGCGGAAGAGGAGGGGGAGAGAGGCGAGAGACGTGGGAATGATGAGTCCGAAGCGTGCAGAGGGGAAGGTGGCGAGGCAGGTTGATGATTGATTGGCATTGTGGCACAACATTGCACGGCTAATGCCATCGCCATTGCCATGACCACGACCACGACGACGACGACGAAGACTGCTGCTGTCTGCTGCTCCTCCTTGCTGAAGACGAAGAAGAGAGTGGCGACACCACTGGAATCGACGCCCCTAGCCTTCGCCTTGCATATCTACTTGCCAGCGGCTGTCGGTGACCGTGGCGTGCCAGCTGACATGCCTGCCTCATCTGCGCGAACCCAGTCGGTTATTGGAATACCGTTGTGGTCACCTAACCCCTGGTTCCGTTGGTAACTTAACACCCCACTCTCAAGGGGGTTAGTAGGGTAGGGATGGGTGGGTTGGGTCGAGTTCCGGTTACAGCTCACTGGCGTGTCAGGTTGCAGAGGTGGCAGAAATCCCAGTTTACAGCGTCTACATTTTCTGTACTCTCTCGGTAAAAACCTCCAAAGTGGTCGTTTCAACATCATTCTAGCTTGCTGCTTGAATATGGTACATGTTATTTTAAAATTGAAATGTTGACCATGGTTTAAAACTTTACTGATTGCAATTTATGGTTTCAATTAAATCAAATCCTTGAGTTCTATTTTGTTATTAATCATGAATTTCATAAACTTCTCTACACATGTGAACGTGTATGCAGAGAGAATTCGAAACCTTTGAAGAATTTTAAAAGATAATTATTCTTCTCAAAAACACAACTTCTTAGGGCCAATTTAAACTTAGGAGATAAGGTGAGAGGCCACAACCTTAAAATGTTTTGATTGGTTGAAATTGAGAACCCTCATTGACTTAGAAATTTGTGGTTTTTAGAAAATTTTGAGAAGACTTGTTTAAAAATGCTTTAAATTACTAATAGTCAAAATAATAAAAATCAAGTTATTTGTACTTCTCATGATTGTTAGAATGAAGATGTGAATTGACATATTTTAACTTATAATAAAAGAATGATATGGTTCATTTTATATCATCTTCTTACTTTATGATATATTCAAATGTTGAGGCATGTAAAAGAGTTTTTTTTTTTTTTTTTTTTTTTTTTCCCCTAAAGAAGAGACCTTGTCAAGGCTTTTAAATCATAACTTTTCAAAGTGAACTTCTAGGTATAAAGAACCTATGAGTTTTGAAAAGATGGCCATAAAAAAAGTATTGTTTATTAATTGAAATTATTTTATTAATTCTTTATTGACAAAAATATTTGCTATAAAACTAAATAATAATTCACAATCCCCATAAGTTCTTTTAAGAAGCACTTTACACCTAAAAGCCCATTTTGAAAGGCTATGACTTATAAGCCTTCTTAAGATTCTTTCTTTTGTAAAATCATATCTTTTTTTAAATGCCCTTGCCTTTGGATATAGTATAAAGTTAGAAGATATCATGAAATGGACCAAATGTCATGGACATATATATTTATTTTGATATTTATCTATATGATTAAATAGAAGTAGATAAAAGTAGATTTATTTTATAATATTTTTTAGAAGAGCTTCTTAGAAGCTTCATAGATGTTGCTTTGACTTTACATGTATTTTTAGTTGATAGATAGATTAGAAACTTGGTCAACAAGTTAACTACATGTTAGTAACTTGCGAATCAAGCTAATTATGTGGCACTTATATAAAAAACTTACCTTACAAAGTCAACACATTTTGGAGATCCTATAAAATAATGGTATATAGTTTTTAATTATAAGTATACACGGAAGAAAGAGTGAAGCATTCTTTACTGTTGTCAATACCTTTTAGCCATTAGTCTTATTTTCAAGACTTTCTAATATTCTTGTCTTTGGAAATAGCCATCTTAATTTAATATTATATCATCTTTGAATGATTATCTAGTCTTTTTGACTGATATAAGAGTAGCTTAATCTTTTAATTCTTCAAGATTTATATCTTTGATAGTTTGACAAGAATGTTAATTCATTGTTCTTGTCTTATTTAAGAAGTGAGTAAATTATCTCATTTTTATTATTATATTTTGAAGGTTATAGATCATCTACCTTGTAATAGAGTATAGATAAGATATTTGTATTATTGACACATAGAGATAGATAGTTAGAACCATATTTGAGAAATTATCAAAATTTCTAGAATTGGGATTAGGTTATATCAAGGATATGAATCTTGAAGAAAGTAAATCCTCAATACACTCTTGTGTCATTGAAAAGAACTAGAAAGTCACTCAAAAGATAATTTAATATTAATTAAAATAGTTATTACCAAAAATAAGAAAATTAGAAAGTCTTAAAATAAGACTAAAGACTAGAACAATATTGACAAGAGTGAAGAAGGCTTCACTCTTGCCTCCATTTATACTCTTAACTAGGAGCTATGTGGTGATGTCCTAGAAGACCTCCAAAATGTGTTGACTTTGTAAGCCACATGTCTTAACTTGCAAGGTAAGTTATTTATATATGCACCACATAATTAACTTGTTCTACAAGCTACTACATGGAATTAACTTATTCCATAAGCTACCAATACATAATTAACTTGTTGGCCAAGTTTCTATCCTATAAATACATCTAAAGTCAAAACCGCGTCTATAAAGCTCCTAGGAAGCTTTTTTAGAAGACTTTATGAAATTAATCTATATTTACCTAGTTCTATCTAATCATATAAGTAACTATTAGAATAAATCTATATGTTCGTGATATTACCCTCCTTTCTAGAGATGAGTTCCACGAGGAGCGGTCTTCACATGTTGACAAAGTTCAAGATGCGATGTATTATATTTGTCACATATTCCAATCTTTGCTCTCTTTGAAAATGGTTGATAGGCCCTCTCAATCATCGATAGTGTCCCATACCAGGATAAGAAGATCACCTTATGATTTGGTCGTTGTTGAAGGCTTCATAACTTCCTTCAAATAAAATATTTGAAACATCATCAGAAGTTGTTCTTACCTCTAATAAAATCACCAAACATCAGAAGTTTCTTCCAAGGTTGTGATACAAAACATGTTGTATCTCACCATTGATTTAAAGGACATATCGTTCTTGAAGATCTTCATCTCGATTTATTATCTTGAAGGTTGTAACAATCACAATGTCTCATCTAATAAATCTATAAATGAAAGGTTTTGAGCTGAATCTGCTGGTTGTTGGTTCTCCATCTCCTTAACATCACAAATATATAAAAACTACAAAGAAAGATAGAAGGTAGAGTGTTATCTTGCTTTATTCTTTTTTCTTTTATAGCAAAGATTTGTAATTATTTATCTTGGTTTTGATGGATTTTGTTAATGAAAGATTTTAACTTTCTTTGCTACATTTGTAAGATTCTTTGATAGCTTCCTTATGCATTCACTAATATCATATCTATGCCAATAAACAAGATATTTCAATCTATTTTGGTGCTACCTTGAATCTAAGATTTCTTCTACCTTGAACTCTTGATTATTATCTACTTCTACAGGTGGAGGTAGCATTTATCTTCTTCTCAAGATATTCACTATCTTATGGCTGAAGAAGAGATACGTAAAATATAAGGTAGGTCTTCATAAATTCTAGTAGATGTAATCGATAAGCAACAAGATTGATTTGTTCACAAATAAAAAAAGGTCTTAGCCTACAATAGTCCAACTTATTACAAGGATGAATAGACTTGATATTACTATGAAGTACCCATATCTTCTCAGTTACATTGAATTATGGTTGTTCCTTGCAATAAGTATCCACATTCTTCTTTTGCTATTCTTGAGCTTCTTTTAATTGTATTTTTATTGTTACATATAACTCTAAAAATTGATTTATTAAATCTTTTGCCATAGGATTATCAACTTTTGAAAAGTCAATTATGAATTTAGAGTCATATGAACTTGAGACTAGAAGATCTATGATAAAATCTATTGAAATGGAAGACCATGGTTGTTTTGGAATTGATAATGATTAAAAAAGTCCATAAATTTGATAGCGAGGAGTTTTGGAACTTGAGCAAGTATCGCATGATTGTACCAAGTCTTTGACTACTTTTTTTATTTGAGGCCACCAAAAATCTCTACATATTAGCTCTAAAGTCTTGTTGTATTTAAAATGTTTGGCTGTTAGAAAATTATGACAAGCTTGAAAGACGTGTAATCATGCCTTGTGTTTTGAAATATATAGGCAATCTTCAAAATATAGTAGGTTGTTCTTGAACTCAAACTTTGAAGTGTCATAGGACTTAGAGGAAGTATTCTTAATATCATGAATAAGAGGATCAGAGAACATACTTGATTGAATTTGCTTGACAAAGGTTGAATTAATAATTAGTGTTAATTTTATTGATTAAAAATGAAAATGATGAGGCTTCAAGAGAATCGTTCTTTATTGATCAAAAGATACATCTCTTTCTTTTGGTGCAAGATAAGAACGTCTAAAAAAGACATATGATAGACTTATTATTTTTCAGATTGATAAGTGATCTTGAAATTGAATCTGCATAAAAACATGCTCTAGCGGTGTCGTATTACGTGCTTTCTTGCTCGAGAACGCGCCGGGCGTCTGGCTGTAGAAGGTAGTATGGAGATCCGCCGATAGTCAAGCAGTCTATCAATTTTTACTTCTGGAATATAAACGACTGCAAAAATACACCGTAAATCTTTACTGATGTCCTTCGACTGCTTGTCGAAGTCCTTTTTTTGCCCCAGCCGGTAGGTCTCTAGACGTTACAAAGAACCCCGAACAACCCAAACTGTTAATCTTCAATACCCCTTTGTACTTACGATCTTGTATCTACTGACTGTCCTGTTAGATTAATCCAATAAATTTCATTCACTCCGCATACTCAATCCTATAGACACCCCTTTAATCCTTCAATCACAGACGTAACTCGATTTTACAAAACAGTCAAGAGTATTCAAACCCACTTCATTTAAAAATCCCGATTCACCATTACAACACTGACTTCAGCAGCGATTGCCTCAGTCGTCCCAAAACTCTACGAAGAAGAAAAATCCAAATTCTATGTCTTTCCTTCCCCGACCCGAAGCATGAAGCTCCTCTCTCTAATTCCCTTGATCTTCCAAAAACCTCCAATGAAAACCAAACTAGTAACCTTGCAAAAGCTTGAAAACTCGCTCCCTCCGATTCTCCCGAAAAAAAACCTTCCCCCCTCAAAACTATATCCCCCCCTAACCTCATCCTCTGAATTTCTTCAATCTTCCGTCTTA